TTAATATATATATATATATATATATATTANATAATAGGAATAGTAAAAGGGGAGAAGGGAGAGAGCGAAATCTTGTGAAAACTGAAAGGTAATACATTTGACCAATGGTAAATGGAATAAAGCACATGATAATATTGGAACATCGCGATGTAGCTGTTACGTTTGTAGTGATATCATCTTTAAGAGTTTCTTGATTTGTACGTTAAAATTAAGTTTGTTGCACATTCTTGCCAATGAAGTAATGAGTTAGACATGGTTGAACCTCATGATCCTCAAATGTATTAGTCTAGATAGAGAGAGAGTGTGTGTGTGTCCATATATCATGCTCTTTAAAAGGTTATGGTATATGGTTCATATACTACGTTTAATATGCAAGGAGTGGGGCTTAGGTGGTGAAAATGGGTGAGCAATAGAGCCAATACTTGTGCAATAGCCCTCTTATTAGAAACTTATCATAGTGTACTCAAGATTTCCTTAGTTGCATTCCTAAAAAATAAAAAGTGAAATCAACTTGTATAAGTTCTGTTGAATGAATATGAGAATTTCAAACCTTTGATCTCACTAAAAGTATGATCTTTAATAGCGTGGAATGACTAGAATTCAATGTAGCCAATCCCAATTCGATGGGAAAAGGCTTTGACGATGATGATGACCTCACCAAAGGTGATTATGTATCATTATGCAGCTCCCTTTGGCCTACTTTAGAAGCACATCAAGTTACACAGTAGAATGGGTTAAAAATTAATGGTAAATTCCAATTTTGCCCCTGCAAAACTAGAAATATGTTTTGAATCTCACAAAGTTCTTTAGAATTTAAATCAGTTATTGGTATGTGAAAATAGTAAAAGCTATTTGAAAATAGTAATGGAAATAGTAATGGCTCTTTGTAAGTGGTTATAAGAGCCACCTACAAATATATACATATATATAAATTATATTTTATTAGTTGTTAAATAATAATAATAATAATAATACAAACATTATCAACAACAGTTAATAAATCCTTTTGTTCATATTAAAAACTTTATCCTTACTAATTATCTAAAATACCTTAAAACAAAAGGTTAACACATTGAAGATAAAGGTTATTAGGTGCTAAATATGTTCAGTTTATAAGATACACTTGTCAAACAAAACAAATGCTAAGTTTATAATATACACTTGTCAAACAAACCCCTTTGCAGTAAACGAAATGCAAGCAACAAATTGTACATCACATAACCATGAGTTTCTTATAGTGCGGAGTTGATGTGATTTGCTTCAATACCTAATTGCTACTTTGGCAGGTAAATAGTGTCACCTGAAGAATTTCTTTTTTTTTTTTTGGGGCAATTCAGTGGGGATAACGAGCCCTTTTTTCTTTTTCTTTTTTCTGTTTTTTTTTTTTTGGAAAAATCATTGGTGATTTTTTTAATAGAGAATGATTTTTTTGTGAAATCATTAATGATTTTTTAATGCCCCATAGGGACATTCCATAAACGCTTTATTAATGTATATGAGATCTACTATTCATAGGCACCACAGCTCACTGTAAGCAGTCCCTTTCCGAAAAGAGATGGCCGCCCAATCATATGCAGCTCTAGTCTCTAGTATGCTAGAAATAGGAGGTGCAGTTTGCATAAGGTTGCAAACCTTAAACAATTCAAGGCGCGTGGCGCAAGAATCTATTCTCTTCCTTATTACAAAATTTTAAACACCAAAAATGGTTCAAATCAAACAAATATATGAATGCATAAAAATCTTGAAAATAGACAGTTTAAATAATATGTAAATAATATGTTGAAAGAAGTATCATTTTTAGAATTTGAAATCTTTTCCTTTTTCCATATTCATTCACCTCAATGCCAATATGATCACTTAGATGTTTTTTCAACATCAAAACGGCCTTTTTCGAGAGATTTTTGAAGTGCACGTCAATTCTATATTTAGGTCTCAACCTTAAGTAAATGTTTCCATTAGAAATACCTCAATACAAACAACTTAAGACAGCACATTTGGTAAAAAACGTTTCCAGATAATAACAAGTACATAATCCAGTAGGAATAGCAATTTGAATTTATAAAGAACCAAGTTATATAGTACAATTTTTTTTAAAAAAAACTGATTATTTCTAGTATAATCCTAGTAAAATGAATTGATCACAATATTTAATGCTTCTCGTTATTCTATGATAAAAGTTTTTCCCAACAATAACGGATATGTAATTTGAAAGAAAATTAGCAGATTTAATTTATAGACAACATGATGTTTAACTAAAAATTTTAAAATTTAAATATGGCAAACATAGAGCAATTTGCAAAGAATCGATAATGGGTATGTACCTTTTTTTGGGTAACTATAATTATTTATGAAAGCCATTACATTGGATAATAACTTTTGATATTGTAATTTGATATACATCAGAAATTATTGTCAATTTTATCATTTATAAAAAGAAAATTTATCAAAAACCACCTAAAATATCAAATGTTTATCATTTGACCCATTTATTAAAGGGAACCTTTCCATACGCCATTAGGCATAGGAAATTATGTATGGCACCCTCTCTTAGCCATTTGATCTGATTAGATGGAAGAGATGACCCCAATCACACAATCGCTTGTGACATTATGATTCAAGCCATTCCAATAATCCAATCCTAGGATAGAGAGGCATATATGAGTTTCCTATACCTAGTGGCATAGAGAAAGGTTCTCTTATATTTTATCAACTATCAAACTAATGATTATATGTCCCGTCATGAGATTTTGAAAATAAATAAAAGAAATAGGTCAAAATATTATATACTTTAACATGTACATGCTTTATGATAAGTTTTTCTTTATAAAATTGTTAAAGATAATAAATAATTTTATTTCTGCATAGTTTGAAATCACATGAGGTTTATGGGTAGAGGAAAATTATATAAAACAATTGTGATACCAACATTGTTTAATGGGATGGAATATTAACCGGTCAAGAAACAACATACCCTATAAAATGAGTGTAGCTGAGATGAAGATGTTGAGATAGATGAATGGCAACACAAAAAAAGATAGAATTCAAAATGAATATATTAGAGAGAACTTAGGTGTGGCTTCAATGGGTGATAAGATGAGGGAAAGTAAACTTAGATGGGCTGGCCATGTTCAGTGTAGACCCAATACATCACTAATTAAAAGGTGTGATTGGTAGTAGAAAATTCTAAAAAGGCAAGAGGAAGGTCCAAAAGGATATGGATTAAAATAGCGGAAAAGTTATGGGGACTATAGTCTTACCGAAAGTATGGCTAAAGTATGGTTCTTGATAGAGTAGAATGACCTCAAATAGTTGGGATAAAGCTATGATGATGATAGTTTGAATGCAAAGTTTACTTCATACTAAATAATATATTAGTTTAAGGTATTAAAGTCCCAAGAATTATTTGATAAATTTTTTATACTAAAGACAAACACGATATTAAACCGATACACTCCTTGCGGATAATATGTTGACAACAATAATTATAAATAAGGACTTTACATTTAATAAAAATGACAAATGACAGATAAGGGAATAACTTAAATCAACCATTACATGGTTAAACGAGATTGCATGAGATCAGACACCGTGGATGTATAGTAATCAGGTTGGATGCTGTTTGTGGGGCCCTGTAGATCCGATGTAGTGGTTACGCCTACATCATTAACATTTCCATAAAATGCGAGCACGCTCACTCACTCACACGCACGAAAAGAGGAGAGAGAGAGAGAGAGAGAGAGAGAGAGAGGAGGAGT